GAAGGAAGGAAGGAAGGAAGGAAGGAAGGAAGGAAGGAAGGAAGGAACCTATCTAAGGTCACAGAACCAGAGAAGGCGACAAGTCCCCCAGTTTGTAGGTCTAGATCCACGTGCTTCCGTTTCACGGGGATTGCCTCCATTGTTCCCTCTTTTCTCGTGAGCACCAGTTATGTGGTCTGTGTGTTTGTGAAGTAGAGGCACTCCAACCTGCAGCTTCAGTTACCTAACGCAATGTTTGTATTTCCTGGGCACTGCTCAACCCTAGACGCCTCTCACATCCTTAGGACCAGTCTGTCCCTGCGCCAGAAGCAGCTGCCTCTCATTTCTCCTCTTAATTTATAAATGTCACCTGGAGAGTGGGATCTTCCTATGACTGGTGCATCAGGAACCCATAGATCTTTCAGTGTTGTAGGAACCCCTGGGTATGACTTCTAAGAATTAGCTTCTGAAATGCACATAATATCATACCTAATAGAATGGCTGGTTTTACTGGAATAACTATCTCTAAAAGTATGTTACAGAAGAGAGCAAAAGTTTCAGTCATGCTGATACTACCTGATGTGGAAAGCCCCACACCATTAGTACCTCTTCTCAGGAAAGAAGCCAAAAAAGAAAAAGAAAGAAAGAAGAAGGGGAATAAGGGGAATATTTGTAGATAATCACTGCAGCGTTGTGTAAACAAAAACACTTAGAATCATTATAAAGGCATTTATTGTGAATCAGTAAAATGATGTTCGTCTCAAGAGGCAATGAAGTGACTACCATATAATAAAATTTTCAGAGTCAAAGAAGATTTGTTTATTTTTATTTATGTGTATGAGTGGTAAGCACGTATGCTATCTGTGAGCCTAGTGCCTCCAGAAGCCAGAAAGGGGAGTCAGATTCCCCCCACCCAGAACTAGAGTTATATATGGTTGTCAGCCTCCATGTAGATGCTGGGAACCAGACCCAGGTCTTCTGCCAGGGTACCAAGTACCCTTAACCACTGAGTCATCTCTCCAGCCCCACCCCCACCCCCTACCACCCTAGAAGGTTTCGATGTTGTATGGTCATCACCACCTCCTTGGATGGCTGTTCAGAATTATTTTATTCTTTTTACTCTTTTGTGGTCTTTCATGTTTATCTATGGTGAATACAAACTGAATCAATCCAAGGGTTATGATTTGTCTAGAGGGGCATATTGTCTAGAATTTTCCTAAAGCCCAGTGCTATGTACCAATCACTGCTAAGCACTCTGTGGGGTGTCTCATTCATCAGCAACTAGGTTCATTCATTATTTTCACTCTGCACATGAATGTATTAGGAGTGAGAAACCGCAAGGATCTGATGGAGTCAGACTGGAAGCGCAGGCTTCTCTGTCCAGTGTGCCCCAGATGAAGACCATGCACTGTTTACTCATTCCACCAACTGTGGTCGTGCTGGAGATCTTTGCATCCCACCCTAGCATACTATTGCTTCAGAAATGTAAATACCACAGATACAGATGGGCTGAGTGGCATGCTTTTATGTCCCATCTCTGGGTAGCCCTGCCCACATTTCTAAGTCCGAGTAGAAAGATCCCCACTGCAGGCTACCAGAAGGAGCGTGGGGAACTAGGGGGCTATGGAAGCACTCGGGGAGACAGATATCCAAATCAGAGGGAAGGGCGAAACTGGCAACCACAATGTGAGGAAGGAAAATTCTGACCATGCTTCTTTTCATTTATGACTCTCTCTCTCTCTCTCTCTCTCTCTCTCTCTTTCTCTTCCTGCAGAAATGGCTGATATCCCGAGCCACGTCTTTACGAGAGGAATCATCGTGGCAGTGTTTGTCTCTGTGGCAGTAGTGTGTGTGGTGATTTTGTGTGTCATTTACAAAGTCGACTTGGTTCTGTTCTATAGACGCTTGACGGAAAGAGATGAGACATTAACAGGTAACATTCTGTGAAACCGGGGGATCCTAGTCTATGTTTTTGTGCCTAAAACCGGAACAGTAATCTTCACCTAATTTTGACGACACCACTGATATTCTGTAAGAGAGATTTCCAGTCTGGGGTCAGGGGCTCCTCTCTATGTAGCACCATGATGGGTACTGTGCAGTCTTGTGCTTGTTTGTGACTTTCCAGATGTTTTACTTCTGGGGGTTCGTGTCTGTACGCTGTCTCCTCCTAAACCCCCTGTGCTATTGATGTGTTTGTGTTCACACACACTCCACTGCATACTTTATACACTCCATAAAGATTTTTTTTTCATTGAATTTTCTGTTATCCTTTCTCATTATTTTCACTGGGAAAAGGAGGCTGTTTAATCTACCTGGAAGAACTCTGGGTTAGAAGCCAAATAACCTCAAGTTTAGTCTGCTAGACCTACCAGCTGTTAACTGCTACTGTGTCTGTTGGGGTATGTGTCTCAGTATTTTCAAAAGTGATGAGAAATCTCCAGATTTCAAGATAATTATGTCCTTAAAAAGTTAACCTGAATCATTGCTCTTGTTTATGTGTGTATGTGTTGTGAGTGTTTATAGAAAAAAAAACAACCTTTATAAAGGTTAAACTCAAAATTTGTAAATATACAGCAGGAGACCTTTTCCTGTCCTGCCCATGTCTCTGCTTCCCACAAGGTCCCCATCCGCTACTGCATCCAATAAACTGCTGACATGGATGCTTACCACATGCTGCCTTTAGAAAAGCAATCTTGGTTTAGTTACCCACACTTTTGGATTTCTGCCAGTTTGATAGATGAGGGTTTGAGGCTGGGTAGTTTCAATTTGTATTTCATTTTATGATGTTATAAAACACAAGCAACTTAAGCAATTTAAATAAAATTTTAATTTATTTAAAATTTATTTGTGTCTCCTTTTTCAGCACATCTACTCTTGGTCCATCCTGTCACTGTGCTTTCTCTTATCCTTCTTGTTTGCAGGCACTACGCTATTTATATCTAGTATCTATAGTGTGAAAAATAAATATCCCCGTGTTGTTATCTGTCTTTGTTTGTTGTGGTGTGCCTATGTGGGAGACCCAAATATATCTTTATTTTTTTAGTATCCAGTCTGGGCATTGTACATACAAAGCTCCCCTTGACCTCATGATCCAAAATGATTCACATATCCGCTCCTCTGGGATTTTTAAAACTTACTTATTTTATTATTTTAGATTATAGTAGAATGACATCATCATTTTTCACACTTACAATGTTTAGTATTAGCAGTTAGCAGGCACAGGGAAGTTGGCTCTCAGTTTGGGTGTCTGATCTTACTTTAGACAGAAATGAGGCAGCCATGTGGACAGTCAGTATGTGGTCTTTTCTGCATGGTCTCTGCTCAGAGAGATGAACATTTGGACTTGAATGGGCCTTGGGTTCCCTTTTTCCTTCTGATTTTTCATACTGTTTTCCCTGTGTCAAATTTTTTGACCCAACTTGGACATTCTTTTTTGGTGTTTTGAAAATTGCTTAAATGCATTGGTTTTGTTTGATGTGCGGGTCCCCGAGTGTCGGAACACACACCTCATGTGTGCAAGCGCCTGCAGAAGTCAGAAGGGGGCATCAGATTTCTTGGAAATGGAACTCTAGATGGTTGTCAACCACCGTGGGAGCGCTGGGAATTGAACCCAGGTTTTCAGCAAAAGCAACAAGAACTCACAGACCCTATGTCATCTTTTCAACCCCAGTCATTTTTCCCAGTTCATGCTTTTAACCGTTAGTGTGGCAGTACACAGAAGTACTCAGGAGCACACCCTAAGCACCTCCACTCAACATGAAGTGCACAGACAGGCACAGCCTGTGGCAATGGCAGAAATGAAGATGTATCTAGAAAATAAAACTTTTTAATAGTTATAGCACTGTGGTAGCCAAGCGGATGCTTGGTGTTGGTTTATAAAAAGAGATGTAAAGAACCAATCAGCCAAAGAGAATTGAAACTCACCAGGTAATGCACATATATTGGTCCAACTGACTCATTGTTGTTCTACATAGCCATTTATATAATGATAGCTTCATTAATTAGGGATCAAAGATACGATTTAGTCATGCGTGTCTTCCAGGCATAACAGGACTGATCTATATAAACGTGTGAGCTCACAGACACTGCCATAGCACACATAAGACCTGCACAGCTTCAAACCACACAACACTGGGAAGGAGAAGGGGACACGAAATCCCACCCCTAACCAAGAAGCTACTTACAATGAGTATCTGCTAGGAAAGGGGAAATGTTCTAAACATCTATCTTAAGCATCTGCTTTAAGACTCTCACCATGGAGAGGGTTGGAGGATCATAATCAGGACACTGGGGCATATAGAGACAATAAGATACCTTTGAGGAGTATATGATTCTGTAATCTTTATCAAAGTTTTCTCATACATGTAATTCATGTAATTCTGCACAAACATTTGCTTTATATCAGCATTAGGTCTCGACTTAAATCAGCGGAACAGAATACTTGAGGAGAGTTTAGCAAGCTTTTGCCAGGAAGAGAAAGCCTTGTCTTGTGAACTTGAACATGAAGAAATACGGCGGGGCCACTGGGCGTGGCTTATAAAAGCATAGACCCAGAGCTGTTTCATCCCATCTTATTTCAGTAAAAGGAACCAAATACGTCTACCTTTCAAGTCAGTCAGTACAGATCCAACTCCTCGGCCATCTACTAAATTTTTGTGACTGAGATGAAACCATCGCACATCCACACTCTGCTTCCCCAGCTACACCAGCTGCGTTAGTGAAGACATCACTCGAAACATGCCTTGTTCAGAAAGCGTGGCCACTGAGGTCCCTCCTCTTTCACGGTCTGCTTCGTACGGTCTTTCATCTGTTACTCTGCTGCTTTTATTCATCTCAAGTTGTCTTTGTTTCCTCTGTCTCCTCAATAGACTGCATGAAACGTAAAGGATATCACATGCATTTTGAGTTACCCAGTGGGGTGAAGGAATTGTCTTTGTTAACTAGGCGACCTGTTTCCTTCTTCATTGTTCTCTCAGCCATCTAAATTCTTCTCTGTCATCAAGAATTCGATGGGAGCACACCTGAGGATCACTGTTAAGCTTTCAATAGACTATAGGTTTCTCTTTTGACATTTGACGCCCTACGGGTATGCGTGTGTGTGTGTGTGTGTGTGTCTGCGCGCACGTGCTTGTGTGTGTGTTAGACTATGATTTAATCACAATTCCAGACTCTTCCATATACTTCACAATCCTCTCATTTAAATTTCTTTTTCCATTGTTAGCATCTTGTTCTAAGCATCCTTATGATTTTTTTTCCCCCACTCTCTGGGGTGTGGTCTCAGTTTCACTTGTGTGTCTTGCTTTATTTTCCTTTGTTTTGACTTTACTCTTTAAGGGCCTTTAGAAAGTAAAACTTGATTGTTGTGGTGTGATGGAGTTGAATGAAATGAACGAGCCAAAGTGTGACTTACTCCCCAATCCTGGAATGAAGGTTTTCTGGGAGTATCTAGCATCTTATTGTCTTCATATGCCTCAATGTCCCGATTACTATTCCCCCACGCTTCTCTATGATGGGAGTCTCAAAGCAAATGCTTAAATAGATGTTCAGAATATTGTTTACTTGGGATGCAGCTGAGATTTGCCAACCAATAATTTTATCCTCTTTATATATGGTGTTCACACAAGTTTTTACTGAAAATTCTTTTCTTAATCATGAATTAAAAGAGTTCACCTTGTCCCCTAGATGGCAAAACATACGACGCCTTTGTGTCTTATCTGAAAGCGTGTCACCCTGAGAATGGAGACGAACACACTTTCGCTGTGGAGACACTACCCAGGGTCCTGGAGAAACAATTTGGGTATAAACTGTGCATATTTGAAAGAGATGTGGTACCCGGTGGAGGTAAGAAAGGAACCCCGGACAGAGAGTCAATGGAGATCATTTTCTATGAGATAGTTGATTATCTTTTTATTTTAAAAATGTACAAATGAGCCGGGCGGTGGTGGCGCTCGCCTTTAATCCCAGCACTCGGGAGGCAGAGTCAGGTGGATCCTTGTGTGTTCGAGGCCAGCCTGGTCTACAAGAGCTAGTTCCAGGACAGGCACCAAAAACTACAGAGAAACCCTGTCTCGAAAATAAAAATAAAAATAAAAATAAAAATGTACAAATGGCCAAAGTCCTTTAATGCAGCAGAGGCCAGGCAGTTGGCCTTTAACTAGTTATCAGTTCCTCACGTCAGTCTGCTAAACTGACATTTTCACTGTCACAGTAATAGATATTGAGGAAATAACTCCAGCCTTTCCTCTGGGACTCTTTCATTCTACATCATAAACCTGACTCCTGAAAAAAGACACGGGTGTTTCTCTTCCTGAGACCTTGTGTCAATAAACAAAGTGGAAGGCGACTGAGCAGGGAAACTCAGTGTCAAACTCTGACCTCCGTGTGCACATATGCCCAAGTCCATGTGGCACATATGCATGCTAAAAAGTTAACTAATGCAGAGGAGGAGAGAGGGGAATGTGAGGAAGAAGGAGGAGGAAAAGGAGGAGAAGGAGGAATAGGAGAAGGAAGGGAATGAGGAGGAGAAGG